TTGTTTTCACTACCGAAGACTGTTGGGATGCTTTGCTGATACAGTGCTGGAGAATTTTTCAAGTTCAGCATGAATTAGGGGCTAGAGGATATTTCCAGTGCCTTGATAGAACACAAAAGACTATCATTGCTTTAAACTGTTTTTGTCCATAAAAATATAAAATGAAATCCTGAAGCAGTAAATACATTAAAAAAACATATATTATCTGAGGGAATTTAGAGCTGAAATCTGAGAACCCTGAGAAGGACAGGGTATTTTAAAAGTGCTTTTCAGGTACGTAGACTGCTTTTCCTTTCTTTACACCCATACTTTATATCTGGGGTGGCGGGTGATGGAATCACCCAACTGAAACAGAGCCGGAAGCAATTTGGCTGGAAGGGAGCACTGGAATTTCCTGATGTTCCCAACCTCGGGCGACAGCACTGACCTTCCTTGTGAACTGGCATTTGCAATCATAGTTGTAATTTGTATTTGTATGGTCATTTCTTGTTTCCCTGTGTTAGTATTGGTTGTTGATGTCTCCAGATATTTTAAAATACTCCCTAAGGCAATTAAGTTACACAATAATTGCAGTTGCAAGTACTAGTTTATACTTCACAGCATTGAAAACATAAGGGGAAATGAAGTGGCACTATGAGTTTTGACACGGTCTGAGACACGTCAGTGTGATCCTGGCTAACAAAATAAAGCCTATCCTGTGATGCTCCTGTGTACTTGCTTGGGTATATGAATGCATGGACATGAGACTGTGTGCTGGGAAAGTCTAGTTGCTGAGGGGGGGAAAAAGGTGGCAAATGTGTTCCAATAGAGGAAAACTTGTTTTATTTTAATCCAAGCTAATTTCTTCCTAGTGCAGTGTATTTTCTGCCTGGGGCAGCTGGCAGCTTGAGTACAGTTGTCCAAAGACTTTTAGTGAATTTGGGGCTTTTGCAACAAGTTCCCCAGTTTTGTATGATGCTGGTTTAAAAAAATAAGTAGTTTGTGAGGAGTCTGCTATGAGACCCATTTTCAGTGTGACATTGCTGTGTTTTTGGCTTCTGTTCATGGCTAAAGTTTTTTTGAGATCTCTAATGTGGCTGAATGGACAGTCTATAATGAATTTGAGTATTTCAGGCAATGGTTTGGTGGAAACAAAATACTATATTTATAATGAAAAGCCTCACAGCCCAGCTTTTCGAGACCTACTGTTTGAATATACATTTATCTATTAGTAAATTATGTCTATATTTTAAAGTACAAAGGTCAGACACTGAAATCAGTTGCATTTATTAGTTTGGAGCAGTAGGTGGAAAACTGCTTTGTTCTATATTTAAAAAATGAGCAAATCTGTTATAGATAAAGGTGTGCACAAATAAGCGTGTGAGGGGACAAAAGCCTTTAGCAAATACTTGAATGTTGCAATTTTTTTCTTTTTTTTTCTTTTTTTAGGTTGGATGCTTTAAACATTTTCCTTTATTTCTGCTGTATTTTCAGATCATGCTGATTCTTTGCTTATTTTGCTCATATTGCATTTTCATTCCTTTTCCTCCTTTCCCTTATGTTTTAATCCTACCCCATTTTTTCACATGACAGGAAAAAGCCAGATCACATCAGGTACCAACCAGCTTCTTTTATACCTTCCCAATATTCCTTTGGCACGCAAAAAGCTCTTAATTAACCCTGCATTTAATTTTGATTACTTGCAATGGATGTAAAGTGGCTAAGAAAAATAACAGAAGGATTCTGCCTGGGATGACAGTGCTACTCAACACCTTTAAAAGAGATGGCAAGGTTGATCACATGCTCAGAAGTTTGAGTGCAGAAACTAAATTTACCTTAATTCTTTTATAGCTAAAAATAACTTAATGTTTTGCCTTTTTCTAATTTATGTTGGTGAGATTTTTCTCCTCAACTGCATTTGGAATTAGAAATGGCACTTTTAAATGTTGTGCAATATTAATTGTTCTGTTTTATTCGCATGCTGATGGCAAGCAAAATTATTCCTCTTTGAAAATGAATTAAAATTATTCAAATTTTATATTCACTTTGAGTCATTTCTTCTTCTTGGTATTAATTCTCTGTTCTCAGAAATTTTAAATGTTCTTCACTTTTTTATATTTCTCCTACTTAAGTTGATTTTTTTAAAAAATGTGTAGGTATAAGTGAGAAAAAACCAGTTAAGTCTCTAAACCCAAACAGCTTCATTTAAGTGCTGCCATATGTACAGTGAATCAATATGACTTACTTGAAGCCTTCTCTAAGTATGTTTCCTCCTTCACCACGCTTTTCTCCAAATTTTCAGTGACAAAAAGACACATTTTTAAAAAAACGTTGATAACCTCAGTGCCTGCAGCACATGCCATTTTTTAAAGACTTAATTGTTCAAAGAGGGAGATAGAGTATATTCTTATAGCACCTTCAGCCATACGTATTGTGCCTCAGAAGTTCCTGGTTGTCTCTGCCTCTGGCAGGACACTTGTGCAGTGAGCAGTAGTGTTTATTGAAACTTATTTTGAGATTATTTGTAAAGCTCGGACCCCAGAATCTTGTTACTTTGGCCTCAGTAAAATTGGTCTGCTGCAGGCATGTTGGACCTGGGGCTAACCATGTTCCTTTATATTTCAAAGCATGTGATGAAGTGGCTGTCCCCTCCTGCAGCTCCAATTTACAATTTGTAAACTCATTTATATCCCGTTTATCAGAACAGAGTTTATTTACTGTAATGACTCTCTAAATATGTAAACATACCACAAATAAAGCATTGTATTAATGAAAATTAGCCATGCTGCTTAATGATTATTCGTAGGGATTTGCTCCATTGCATGTTATCTGGGAGCAGTGCTGCCTTTTTCCTTTGCCTCTTAGGCACTGCTTTTCATGTTTCTAATTGGTGTATGTTCAAAAGCAAAAAAAAAAAAAAAAAAAAAAAGAAACCTCATTGTATTTTCCTTTTCTGGTCTGCTTTTTAGATCAACTGTGTGTTTAAATATTAGCCATAACCTGCCTTATGCTTGGATTAGAGGCTTAGTTACTGCATCTGGTTGTATTTTTTTTTCTTTTTTTTATAGATGGTAAAAGTGATACTTTTTAAATAGTGGTCAGCACTATTCCTACAGAAAAAACATCTTGTGAAAAATTGAAAAAGTAATTTTTAATTATACTGTTTAATTATCTTAGCCCAAATAGGTGACCATTATTATGTTAGAAATCCAGTATTTAAGGAGATCCTGTTGCTTTAAAAAAACAAAACGCCCCAAAACTGCACAACATTTGAAAAGACTGATTGTTAAAAGGTAGAATCGCATCTGTCTACTAAGTACTAACTTCTATAACAGATACTAGATTTTCTGATACAGATCTAACATTTTTGTACATCTTTGATGTATCTCTCACCATTATATTTCCCTTGACTTTTTTTGGTTGTTGTTGTTCTGCTTTTCCTGAATGGTTTGTGGTGGTTGGAATATATGGAGTCCCCTTGTTACTAACCGAGTGAGCTGTATATTCAGCAGCTTAGGGAATTTGCAAGGTAGTTGCAAAATAAGGAATTGCAAGATAAGTTTGGGAAGCATCTTCGGAAGACCGTTAGCTTTAGCCAATTAACAGTGCAGAAAAAAGTGATGTGCTGATCACATCCCCAGTGATGTATGAGCAGGGTATTGAAGGTAATGGCTTTAATATCACTACTGAATTATTATTTTTATTTTTGCTAACTTTCCTCCAATTCAAAAATATTTTGGGCATCCTAGGGGAGGTAGAAAGGATCAAATATATGTTTTTTTTCTTTTTGTTAGTTTTTTTTCTTTTATATTTGATGACCTGTTGAACATGGTTGAAGGTCTGAGATGCTCGTAATTTTTCCTGAATATGAATAACTTCTTGTTGCTCTGCTGTTGCAGCATTATAAATTGCATCCTATTTTTAATATTGAATTTGTTAATGAGGGATACTGTTTTTTTTTTTTTTTTTTTTTTGTATTATCTTTTAGGTAGATTTTTATAGGATGCCTTAATTTAATCTGTTTGAAATAACTTTCTATAAAAATGAATCTTAAATTAGGAACCTACTTGTAACACTTAGATTTGGGGTTTTATTGCACAATCGTTTTTAATTTCATGATCTAAAGTTGTAAGAAATGTCAAATATAGTGAGACATTAAATACTCATACTGAGTGGCAATGGTGCCTTAGTGAATTGTTTTCTGGTTCTACTCTTGAAAATATTTCAGGAGTGAGTGGGGAGTTCTCATAGTGTAGGTCTTCTAGTTTGTGGAAGTATTTGAATTGTAAATCAAGTAATCACCTAAAACTTAAGTGTTTTTAACAACAAACTAAAGTGTGTGTTTTCTGAAATGAAAACAGTTTGTATGATAGCTTAACCAATGTTGTGATAACACGAATGTATTTGTTTAGGCCTTAAAATATCGAAACCTTGCTTTATCGTTGCTGTTTTGTCTCTGCTCTCTCCTTGTTTCATTCTTCTCACGGAATCCTTGTCCAGCCTGACCGCGGCGTCACACGCGTTTCCTTTATGCAGTGTCTCTCTGTAGACTGTGTGTGAGCCCCTCGCAGGCGAATACGCACCGTAAAATCAATCACGTGTTGTTTGGATGTCTTTTTATTTAAATAGGCGCTGGTTCTCAATACAAAATAACCAACTTGTGTACCAGAAGAAGTTCAAGGTGGGTATCGAGAAGGGGCTTGGGATAGTTGGGTGGGGATGAGGGTTGCTCTGCTGCTCTGAGTCCTCACACTGGCTCCCCAGGTGCTCTTGATCCACCCACTTCATTCTTAGATTAATTTTTCCTATTCTAAAATGAAAGCAATACCTACAAATGTTGAGTCGTGAATGGTAACCTGTAAGAATGTACTTTTTGTTACTGTATTTTTACCTTCTGGCAGAGAAGAGGCATGAGGGTTGTTGGAAGCTGCTGGTCCCAGAAGGCTTGTACACATCTGCTGGCAGACTAAATATTCAGAGCTGTTCTCGGAGTCATTGGGTTTAACTCCTTAAAGACTTGAACTCCCCATTACCAGATTCCCACACTCAATTTAAGCACTTAAATAAATAAATAAAATCAATTGCCAGGAAATGAATGCATGAAAAATCTCTGTTGTGAAGCAGTAAGGGATAATACATACATGTGTCTGACACTGCCAGCGGGTGGCAATTGGTAGATGTTGGTGTTTTTGCCAGTGAAAGCAAAGTTCTTGTGATGACAGCTGCCGTTTATTACAGCTGCAAATGCACCTCAATGACATTTTTTTCTTAATATTATTTGGCAGAAGCCACTTGTAGAGATACTGCTCTTCTAAAAATACTGTTAGTCCGTAATGAATATTCCAACTCAAAATATCAAAACCCACACAGCCCAGCTTTTCTTTCATATGTGCTGCTTACAATGTTGCAAAGTTCATTTACAAAGTCGCATTTTTTCTGATCGAATTCCAAGTTATCTACATCTCTTTTCAGACAGTATCTTGGAATCCTTTGAAAACTTCTCACCATATTTAAGCTGTTGATTATTTCTATTTGATTGTAGGTAAAAAGGCATTCTCCAAAGGCTCTATTTAAATTTTAATAAAATATAACTTTTAAAAATAGCTAAATATTTCTTGTGAAGTACTTCTGATACTAAATACTTAAAATTTCATCTTATCCGCTCACTTATTTCTATCGTAAAACTTGTCTTAATAAAATGAACTGAGAAATTGAGACTATGAGCAACTTCTGTTTTTGTTTTTCTTCTATATGTGACTTCATTCATTCGTTTTATTCATTTTATCTTTTTTATTTCAGGATAATCCCACAGTGGTAGTTGAAGATTTGCGGCTTTGTACAGTCAAACACTGCGAAGACATAGAAAGGCGTTTCTGTTTCGAGGTGGTTTCACCAACAAAGTAAGGAGAAGTGAAGGAGCTTGTGGTCATTTAAAAAAATGTTAGATTCAGTTATCTTGAAATACCAAATAAATGCGTCTCTTGGGACAGTTCAGAACAGGAAAAATATGTGAACAATTTCGTTGTTTGAAACTTTAGATCAAGCATAAGTGAAGCTGTGAGAAGTGTTCCTAGTATTTAGTTTGCTTTGGATATTCAAATAATCATGCATTCTTGTGACTTATGTTTACAAAGTTGGTGGTGGTTGAGGTGTGATGACTTAGTAGTAGCTGGCACCGTCGAGCTGCTTGGTAATATAGAAAAGTCTCAGTTACTCCAGATAATTTGTAACTGGCACAATCAGATTCAAACATGGAATGAGGCTGCAGTTCAGTAATGTTAAAATACACTTCAGAACACACTAAATGGAACTACCAAATACATTTATTTCAGCTCTGTCACCACGATTTATTGGTTGTATATGGAGCAAAATGGGAGCTGTGCCAGAGCAAGGGCAGGGCGTCAATTTTATTCATTAATGACATTAGCCATGCTAACCTGATCAACCTGCTTCTAGGTTAGGATGTTATCTACACAGCTTGCTCCTATATATTCTCCTCCTAATAGATGGCAGTCCTAGCATTTGCATCTTCATCTCTGGTTCATTTTAACATGCATTTTGTTGTTGTGTGCCTGTGCTTATTCAGATCATAAGAGTTGGAAGAGTTATATGCTTCCTTTGACAGTTGGAGAGCAAAGTAGTTCCTTTTGTCAGTGGCAAGCTGCAAAGCCATTTTCTTTTGAAATCAGTGAATTAACTTTATTTTCAAGGACTGGTACTTTCATCTCATGTAGATAGTCATGGAGGTAAATTGCAGGTGAGGGTATAAAAATGAAAAATCCGCAATAATAGTTAAAACAAGTCTCATGGTTACTTGAATGCTGTCTACGTGTGTTCGCGTTATGTGGGAATGGTTTTGAAACCAGGAATTTGATGACTAAAGGGTCAGCTGCATTGTTATTCCAAAATTAATGACTTTAACTATTATGTAAGGCTTTCCAGATAATCTAATGAAGTTGATAGCTAGAAACTTTCACAAGAGTCTGAGTTTTAGCAAGCTATGTATTTTTTGATGTGAGCTTGATGGCTCTCTGTATCTGAGTGCATGTCTGATCCGTCGCAGAAGCTGCATGCTCCAGGCTGACTCAGAAAAGCTGCGGCAGGCATGGATTAAGGCTGTTCAGACCAGTATTGCTACAGCATATAGAGAGAAAGGAGATGAATCTGAGGTAAGACTTAAACAAACAAAAACAGATCCTGACAAGGAGGGGGAAAAAACAACAACAACAACAACCCTCCTCTAAAGGCGGGTTGAAAAAAGAATCAGTTGCTAGTCTGCTCTTGGAAATGCAATGAAATCTTAAAGGCTAGTGTTTTCTCTCCCCATTTCATCTTACTAATGTTGATGTGATTTTTCCATAGTGTAGTTCAAACTCATAAGATCAGTGGATACTGTTATGTTCAGTTCCAATAAGAAACTAAGGACCTTTTCAGTTCTGTGATTTTCCTAGGCTTTAAATGCAAAAGTTTCTTTTCTTGGGTTCCAGGACACAGTATCTGTTGGATCTTTATTTTTTTAATTTAGTCAGTTTCATGCGCACTCTCTCCCTCTTTCTCTCTCTTTGTATTTTTTGTTTTGTTTTTAGAAACAGGAAAAGAAATCATCTCCATCTACTGGAAGTCTAGAATCTGGCAGTGAGACAAAAGAGAAGTTGTTAAAGGGAGAGAGTGCTCTGCAACGGGTTCAGTGCATTCCTGGTAACGCTGCCTGCTGTGACTGCGGCTCGGCAGATCCTCGCTGGGCCAGCATCAACCTAGGGATCACGTTGTGCATCGAGTGCTCTGGTATACACAGGTTGGTGAGCTCTTCGAAAATCTGACTTATGCGTTGTCTTAATTAGGAAATGTAGTACTTGCCTCCCTAAATGTGCACAGAAACAAGATTAAAGATGCTTATTTTTAAGCAGAATTAAAGTAGTGGCTCTTTCTGTATAAAGCTGTCTGAAATATGACATCACATGCAGCTATGAACTAATATTTCTTTCTATGCTGATTAGGAGCCTAGGAGTCCACTTCTCAAAAGTAAGATCTTTAACACTGGATTCATGGGAACCTGAACTTCTAAAGGTATGATAATACCTTTGAAATGGGAGGTATTTATACTGTGCATCTACATCCAGGACATCAGAAACCTTGATGCAGAAAAACTTACATTCAAACCTATAGTATAATTAGCACTTGCTTCTGAGGAGAAAATGTGTGTGTGTGTGTTTATCTATGTATTTGAAGCTGAAGCAGTAAGTTTCATGTGATATTTTTGACATTTAAAAACTGAAATCTCTTTCTAGACCAATAATGTAATAAGCTGGAAAAACTTGAAATACTTTTTTTAAAGGAAAGAAGGATCATACTTGGAAAATTTGGATGCCAAGTCTTAGAGTGGGGTCTTGATTTTGTAGACTTATCTGGCTTTTAAAACTTTTTATTTTTTGCAATTGCTATCATTTGCTATGTGTGTGCAAAAATACTGTTTGGAAACATGGCTGGAAAATCAGATTACATTGTTAAATACAGAAGTAGTAACTGGAGCATGTGTGCATTTGTGCAGTTTAACAGTTCATGCAAAGCTGCTTTTTCTAGCAGCAGTGATAGTATATTCTCTATTTTCAACAACAGAAA